AGCAGGAATCAGCCCAGGCCACATGCAGAGCCAGGCTTTCCTGGAGTTACTGGAGACCAGAGCAGATCATTGGGAGGTTTATTCTGACAAGTTAAATGCCCTTACATTTTCTGTGTGTATATTATTTGCCTCCCCAAGCTGAAACCCAGCACAACGCTACCACCAAGCCCAGCTCTGCAATAAACTCAACAGCACAGTTCTGGCTCAGGGGAAAAAAAAATTTAAAAAAAAAAAATTATCTGCTGAGCCTTCCTAGAATGAGTGATATTTAAACTGCAGCATCTCAGAACAAACAACAGTGTCGGTATATTCATCTAAATTACCCCTTAACATTCAGAAAGGGCTAAAAGTATTCTTCTATTTTGTCTTAAGCTTTCTGTGAAGCACTCCTTCTGTATTTCACTCCAAAGCTGATTACAGTCAAGCAGAAATCAAACTGTCCCAGTGAGAAATTTGTCTAAGGTCAACTGGAATAAAGCAGCTACAGTAATGTGACATTACAGCTGCATCCCTAGAGCTAGTAATCTCATAGGACCTGAAGGCTAATTTTATATGCATCAAGCTGTTTCTCATGGCCAGAGTCCTTTGCATTTAGATGGAAAGTGCTCCCCAGGATTACAAATGTTCATCATTCATTAGTGCTTTGGTCAAGACAGTCCAGGCCCTTTGTCAAACACTTCAGAGATGACTTTTTTTTTTTAAAGCATTTCTCGCTCATGTTTGTCTGAAGAATTGGTCTCTCCCTGTTTCATGCTGGTTATCTCCTTCTTTAAAGTCACAGCATCCCTACATTCCCAGCGTTGTCTTGTTCTGCAAATGACATCAACTGCCCTTAAGTGAAGATATAGATTAGCTACAGCAAGGCATACAGGGAAAGGAAAAAGAAGTTTGCAATAAACTTGAGGGTGCTGGGGTCTCCCACCTTCGAACAGTTACACCCAGTACGCTCTGTTCAATTCACCCTCTTGAGCTTCCCAGCAGGGCAGAGCTCCCAGAACGGTTTCACGCAGTAAGAGGACAAAGTTCAGACTTCCAGTCTTGTAATCAGTCACCTGCACTTTCATGAGGGCACGGGAGTGTCTGTCAGCCGCGGTGACGGGGAGGGCTGGCCTGCGGTTGGTAGCGAGAGCAGCTGGCGCAGCAGAAGCTGGAGTAGTATTCGTTACTGCAGAGCTGGGCCTGCAGGATCAGGTCGCAGTTGGCCAGGTGCGGCTGGTCCACGCACTCTCTGCTCGGGTCCACAACGTGATTCACAGTAGCTGCAGCCAAGCAAAAGGTGAAGCCGCTGTAAATATGCTACCAGGGCTTATCCCCAGGTTTCGTTTCCCTCCCAAAACACACAGCACAT